TTTTTCTCTCGTAAATGATTCGAAAGAGAACGAAACAAATGGTAGTCTGTTGGAGCCAAGTCAGGAGAATAAGGTGGATGAGGAACGATAATCCATCCCAGCTTCAATAATTTTTCGCGAGTCGACTTTGCAATATGAGGTCTTGCGTTATCATACAAATAATAAATTCGATCTTGTTTTCCCTTGAGTTTTTCTGCAGCCCGGTCCAATTGTTGACAGTAGAGATCAGCAGTGATGGTGCAACCATTTGGAAGAATTTCCTAGTGAATAATCCCAGTGACATACCACCAAACGCTCAGGATTACTTTCTTAGGATGTGGATCACTCTTAGGTGTTGCTACGCCTGTTTGACCAGCGCTCGGCCACTGACGTCTGTGCGTGTAGTTAACGTACAACACCCACTTCTCATCGCCAGTGATAAGATTGCGGAGCCATTGATAGTTACTGTGAGACGTCATTAAATCTATATAACCATTAACCCTGTGTTGAAGCTGATGTGGGGATAACTCGTGGGGTATCCAAACTTCATATTTCCATGTCTTGCCTAATTCGTTCAGATGTTTTTCCACCGCAGTATGAGAGCACCCAAGCTGCTCTGCTAAACACCGTAAAGTCAATCGAGGATCTTCTTCGATAAGCTGCTTTAAGAGATCCACATCCAGTTCCATTGGCCTACCGGAGCGAGGTAAATCGTCGAGTTCAAAACTACCGTTCTTGAAACGATTGAACCGATGTTGTGCCGTACGAGTGGAAAGTACATCCTCGCCCATCGTGCTGCATATGTTGTTGGCTGCTTCCGTTGCTTTGTGACTTAGACGAAATTCATGAAGTACAAGCACTCGAATCTCTCTATGAGAAAGATTTATTTTCAATTCATGATCAACGCCCATATCGATGGTTTTATTATCATTCGAAAGATATTCACACTCCATATATATATATACCCTTGGTATGGAAACTTCTAGAACTTTCTAGAATATTCTAGAAAATTTTAGAAAAACCGCAAGAACTTTGTTGACAACCCAATATATATGCGGATGAGCAGTCTGACCGGAAGCTTCAACTATTTTTTTATCATTTAGCTTCTATAGTACATAAGAGGAATATGATTCTTTTATTAGTTATAGTACTTGTGTAGTGCTAATGATTTATCACTGTCTGCAGTATATATCGTTTTAAAAACCAAAAGAATCAAGAGTTCTCAGAGCAGACTTTGGTACAATATACTATCATATTGATCAACTACATAAATTTTTCGGTAAAGGGACTTAACAATCAATAATTCATTTGAAGTTTGCGTCAACAATAAATAGAAATGAATATATCTACCGTGCAATATGGACATCTTTAATATGCGCAAATCGTTGCAATGAGGTTAATAAAAACATCTTTTATTGATCTGATATTAGTTCTTATATTAGTGTATATGTCCCGCACACTAAAAACGTAATTCACTTCTTATAGTTACCCGATTTGAATTGTGTCATTCTATTCTACTATTGATCTTCTTTTTCTTTGTTCTTCCTTATTCGCTTGTTCATTTCGAAATACTTTAACTAAATTGTTACAATCATCTTCATCTCGTTTTAATGGATTCTTCTTCACAAGTTGAATGGAGCTGTCCTCAACGTGAAGTTACTATAAATGAACGTCATAGATATTGCACCAATTGTGAAACAATGTTGGCCTGGACGTGTCCTGAGTCTGAAAAATCTGGTTTGTACTCTAACTATTTTCGGCATCGTCAACGACGTAATTATTGTGCACCAAAACTTGAACAAGAAAAACAACAGTTAAAGGGAGACAGGCAAAATGAGAGAATGCAAGACTTTCAAATGCTGTATAATGGTAAGCGACATTATTTATTTCGTCTCCATTTAAATTTCCATTTTTAGAGCAGCGTCCGTGGTTTGAGTGGAGTCTTAGTAATAACTCCTGTATACAACATACAGGACATGACATCGAACAAGTACGACAGTTATATAATTTATGTGAACAATCACTAATAGAATATTGTGCAAATAGAAAACAACGAACAACAAGTACAAATATTCCATATTTGTCTCCTATAAATCTACTTTCTGTCACGTTATGGTATTTGAAGCATTATCATTCTGAACGGTATATAGCAACTGAGTTGAGTTTTGGTCAAAAAACGGTGAATTATTTTTTATCGGCAGTAATAGATATTTTATATTCCTGTATTTGTCCAAAACTGGTTGTATTACCTGATAATATGGATGATGAAACTACAATTCATGGACCTGAACAGTATCACAAGTTAATAGTTGATTCGACTTTTATTGCAATTGAACAACCTGAAGATTCTGAACAACGTAAAGCATATTATCATGAAAAAGTCCGACAAACTATGCATTCAAAGTACAAATAGCTTGTGATTTTCATCACCGAATAGTACATGTATCCAGATGTTATCCGGGTAGTGTATATGACATTACAATTTTAAGAGAATCAGGTTTATTAGAACATACAGGAGAAGACGTGCAAATTATTGCTGATAAAAGATATATTGGTGAACAGTATGTTATTACTCTAAAGAAAAAATCTCGTACTGGTGAATTAACAGCTGAAGATAAAGATTTCAATCGATCTATTAGTAGCGTAAGAGCAGCTATTGAAAATATTAACCAACGTCTTAAAAATTATGCTATGTTAGGACTGTTTACAGAGGACTTTATAATGATATTGACAAAATCACTAAAATTGCACGTGTTGTTTCTGCACTATGCAACCTTCAATTGTCTAAACATCCTATTCGTAAACATAGATCATGATATGTCATTTGTAGTTTCTAATCGATTATTTAAATAAAAATATGCCAATGGCATTTCTGAGACGATCTCAAACACTAAGTAAGATTTATGATGTGTTTGATTAAAAACAAACATTTTAGAAAAACTTTTATAAGAAACGCTTGATTACTTTGATCTTTATAAAACGATATATACTGCAGATAGTGATAAATCATTAGTACTACACAAGTACTATAACTAGTAAAAGAATCATATTCCTCTTATGCACTATAGAAGCTAAATGATAAAAAAATAGTTGAAGCTTCCGGCCAGACTGCTCATCTCCTTTTGTATTTCGCTGATAAAAGAAGAAAATATTTCATCTAAATGTGATTTGATATACACTCATCTTTTTTCATTTCCCCATAATCATCATGTTTGCAAAGGGTTACTTGTGTTTTTTGTATCTCATGACAAAACAGCTTCTGCAACAGCCATGATTCATTTTATCTTATTTTTCTGACAAGGACTTTTGAGTCACAATGATATTTTAAAACACTCCCGTGTTTTGAAAATATGACAGAGATAGGTAGAAACAAATCAAGCTTGTCAAAAAAATAGTCCCATGAGGACTGAAAAAGAGTTTTGGGATAGGATGTGGAGTAGGGGTGTGGGTGTAGACACTTGTTCCATCGTCCACAATCACACCCACAGCCTGCCACTAGAACCTTACGTGCTGAAATATCATTGTAGTATCAAAATTGGTATAATTTTCTGGTTTCATACGATGATGCTCAAGTGACAATTATATCTCGTCCGGTTGCCAATGCTATATTAGATACACAAACAGTAGGGCCTCTCGATTACGAAACAAATCCAGGTTGGTGCTGTCAAATCAATCTTTATAGCGTTCATGCAGGTACACAAAATACAGGGTGTCCCAAAAGTAAGGAAACAAAGTTTTTTTTTTTCTTATAGAATGTCAGCTGCTTCTCATATTTATACCACAGATAGTAGATGACATAAGTGAAAGATGGGGTGTGAGTGTGGGTTGTGGGTGGGCATGGGTACAATTCTCGTACCCACACCACCACCCTCAAGATCTGGATATTATAAAGATATAACGAATAAATTTCCTAGTGATTTATTTAAATGTGTTCGTGAAATATCGTTATTTGATGAACGTCCTTTTGAATATGAATTTTTTTAAAAATTGCTCGATCATTTCCATTTATAAAAAAATTAACTTTACATAATCGGGAACCGCAGAAGAATGACAATCAATAATGGTCAATCATAGAATATCCTCATCTTAGTCAACTTGATCTTATCCAAACTCATGAAAATTATGTCGAACAATTTTTAATTAATACTAAAATGTCTTTATTAAATAATGTTTACCTTCATGTGACGTATGATACTTTGCAAAGAGTAATGAACCATTTTACAAGAGATATAACACGGTTTAATTGTTTCAAAATCCATTATCTACTTTCACACGATAAACCAGAATTTTCTCTCCATTTCAAAGACTATTTTTCTCATGCAGAAATACTTTGATTATTATTAATTATTGTTTAAATAAAATTTAAAATAAAAAGAAAAGAAAGTTATTTTATCAGAAAGTGATTTTAACTTTCATGAAAAAAAAAGCTGTAAAATAAATATAATTTTTATTCCAAAAATTGATGACAATAAATTTCGTGCTAAGAACAAGGGAGAATCAAATAAAACAGTAGTAAACAGTTGTTAGATATATGTTTCTATTCGAACCAACATACATGAAACATTATTTACAATGGTTCTTTTCTTTTCTGTAGTTCAGAAGGAAAAAGAGCAGTACTTATCAATTTATGATACTTGTTATTCACTGCAAATAACCCAGGTCCAATAAAACGGCCTGAAACGGCGATTAACGATGAAAAACGTCGATAAACGGCACCGTAATCCGTCATACCAGATTACGGAAGCAAAACCGGAAAAAAACGACCGCCGTTTTCTAGCGATAGACGGTGGTCGTAATACGGTATGACGGATTACGGCGAGATAAGGCCAAAATTACTGCAGTAATTCGCCGTTTTATAGTCGTTTCAGGCCGGATACGACGCCGTTTCCGACGGCCGGAATGATCCACCTGAGAAAAAGTGTTATTTTTCCACACTCTTCATCTCATGCGGGTACCTTCATCGATCGATACCAACTGATATTTTCTTATTCAATTTTTGTTTCTACTTTTTTCTTGTATAATTGCTCATTTCTTCAAACAATATTTCATATACTTTAGAGAAAGATCGAAGGAATGAAATATTTATTTAATACAATGCATCTATTTGGATTGAAGGTACCGACAATTACAGTCGTATAGAAATGATTGGCTATAGAAAATTCGAGACAAAACATGTATCAATATAGATGTGGATCTGGATGAATGTAGAAGATCAACCTCTCGCCTACATCCGAGTCACGATTTTCCAGAATATTTTTATGACAATAAGCTAAAACTTCCTTCATTTATTTTTGAGCTTCGAAGATGTGGGTGTTTTCTAAGCAAATACCTATGCTCTAGTTGTGACGAATGGAGTGACCTAAATCCAGAATGACCATCGCTCGGTTTGAATAGATTCTTAGTCATCAGATTCACTGTCGAAAATGTTCATATGAAAGAACCAGTACTTAAGGAGGGTCCCTCCTTAGAAAATCGGATTTTTCAAAAAAGTATCGAAGTTGACTTTTTATCATAGGAAGATGCAGTGAAGCTTCCTCTTTCAGAATATATATGGTTTTTTTGAAAATGACTACATTTTCAAAGACTTATCACATGAAACTTTGACTCTACTACCATATTTTCGGAGAAATTTTCGTGATTTTTAAAGTTTTTTAGCTTTAGAAAAATTGTGTTGCCACTTGCATTATCATTGAATAGAACATTTTTATATTAACCAGCATGTTAGATGGCGTTAGCTATCTTCATCTATTACGTACTTTAAAACAGTCCATGTGGTCAAAACCGGTAAAAAGCCGCCGGTTAACCGATCGTATAACTGAGCAGTTAACCGGCGCTATTTTCCGATTACCGCGGTTATCTGGCAGTTTCTACAATTGATCCGGTTTCTAATACTGGCTGTCTGATTCTTTAATTCTTTCATAGCACAGTTAGTTCTTTTACAATATTTGATTATTTTTTTACACTTTATTTTTAAAAAAATTTAAAAAAAAATACGAAACAAACAATATTAACCTACAGACATAACAAAAAGAACTCATACAGGGTGTTTCATAAGTTTCGGCCCCCTTTTTGTTTTTCTTCTAACTTTCTTATATTTCATCGTAGACTAAAACGGCAAAAGCAGTTTTGTAGAGCAACATTTTAGCTATCAATCAAAAAAAAATTAATTGAAAACGCATGAACTCTAATAGAGAACGACGTCAAGCAAGATTTTGAAAAAAATTTGTTCACTGCATTTTCCGTTTTTTCTCTGGAAAAAATAATCCTTGCTGTATTTTGTAATTATCTCTTTTATTTTCCGAGAATATTGGCTGACTTTTTTTGTAAAGAGATAGCTCGGAAAATTCTCTACAAGATTCAACGCATGATACATCCTCAGAAGGATAACTTACCATAACATGAAATAGATCTCGCGGGGAAAGTACAAATAATCAGTTCAATTAAAAGGCTTCTATTGCATTAATCTTTTTGGAATGTCCTGCTTTTCTGAAAATACGGTTTTCTCTTTATATTTTCGAAAAATATCCTTGTTTATTGTATCTTGTAGAGAATTTTCCGAGCTATCTTTTTGCAAAAAAAGTCAGCCAATATTCTCGGAAAATAAAAGAGATAATTGCAAAATACAGCAAGGATTATTTTTTCCAGAGAAAAAACGGAAAATGCAGTGGACAAATTTTTTTCAAAATCTTGCTTGACGTCGTTCTCTATTAGAGTTCATGTATTTTCAATTAATTTTTTTTTTGATTGGTAGCTAAAATGTTGCTCTACAAAACTGCTTTTGCCGTTTTAGTCTACGATGAAATATAAGAAAGTTAGAAGAAAAACAAAAAGGGGGCCGAAACTTATGAAACACCCTGTATTATTTGGTTTGGCTCTAAAACAAGATTTGAATTCTGTTTGAGTATGAATTTGGATTTGGTTTCAAATGACTGACGTCTCAAAGAATTTGGTAACATAAGGTAACACAATAATAATCTACTTTACTAGAGAAGCAGTACAACAAGAAAAAGAGTTTGTAATTTGGCACGAAATCCTTAGTGTTTGGATTTTGTATTAGATAAAAATAATATAAATAGTTTGCCTTTTGATAACGGTCGTCAAATTGCAGATTGTTTATATGAATTCGGTCGAAAAGCAAATACATGCTTCAAATCCAAATCTAAGATCCAAATTCAAATCCAAACCAAATTCCAAGACCATCCATCATAAATCTCAAATCTATTCTAGATTTGTTGCACCCGTACTCCAGATCCAAATCCATACTCTTGGTTAACAAGATTTTACCTTTTTCTGTTCATCAAAAAAGAAATTTCAATGTTGTCTAGTCAAAATTGAAATTTTAATTTTGACTGAGATTATATTGGGCAAAAATAAAATTTCAATTTTGACTGGGCAAATTTTAAATTTGACTGAATTTTAATTTTGACCACAACATATATATATATAGAGAGAGAGAGAGAGATGTACCTAAACGTACCTATATGCACCCTCATTGATCTTTGAGCTTTGACTCCATATAATATAATGCAAACTTTGATTATGAGAAAATTACTCTTAAACGCGCTGTTGGCCCAAATGATTATTATATTAGTTAATAACTCAACAAGCTCCACAAATTGGCGTTACTAAAATTTAAATAGCGATTTATCAGTTCGTGGTGTTCCCTCGTAAGTTTCTAGGATCTGATGTATTTGAAACAAATAACGTACAAAGATTTCAGTTCACACATAGTTTCTCGAAACTGTAGTTGATCTGCTTCCAAATAGATAATTCTTGCAGAAGACTCTATTTTTACAAAAATTTCAATTTCCTATTTTTTTAATTAAAGAGTCAAGAACTAATATTAAAAAAATTTATCAAAGCTGGTATCGATATAACTTTCGATATGTCACATTTTGGTGTATTTTTTGTTAGAATTCGAGCCACATAGGTCAAAATAGTTGAGAAGTAGAAACTTTTCAAATTGCAAAAACGTTGCAAGAACTTTATTAGAGTTGTTTAGCTTTTAGCTTTTCTTGCTTCTTAGATTCCTTCAGGAAAAACAACTCTGGTACAAAACTTGTAGTTCAGACTTTGCTCTTTCCAACAAAAAAACTGGAGAATTATCTTTACTTACCAAAGCTAATACTTTAGTACCAGCTAATCATCTATATTTATCTTTTGAACACAAACCTCCTTTACCAGTTGATGGTTTATTTCCTGTAATGCCTCATCTTTTTGTTTCAACTTCTTATATGCAAAATTTATTTCGTATTGGATGGAAATATATTTTTTTGCTTACTTGGCGCTCAAGAAAATTTTGCTTTGATACCAATAAATAATAATTGTATTTTATTTCAAAATTTTCATGAAGATCAAATGAGAATTATTTTTGGCTTAAATTCAAATCAAGTTCATGGATACAAATATCGATTGACTATAATATTTCTTGAATTGACTGAAGACAATTTTAATTTTGCTCATTTCTTTTGGTATAATGCTATACAAAAAATTAATATACGTGATTTAACGCAATCTGAAATAGCATATTGGGGACAACGACATAAACGAAGAGTGATGGTCGGTTCAGAAGTAAATACTTTTCTACAATGGTTTGTTCTTAAACGACCATGTATACCAGTTCAAATTTTATCAACAAATGGTATAAATGAAAGTCGATGTCTCAAAAGTATTCAGGTTTATAGCAATCGATTATGCCTATGGATTGGCCATTATTTACCTATATTTGAATGCATGTTGAATGCAGAAGCTATAAGTGATGAATGGCTAAAGTTCTTTAGATTTAAAACAGAATTATCAATTGATGATTACATCTATATTGTTTATCAAATTTATGTTCGAAATCCGACGGGAATCGATTTCGAAGATGATATGCGTATTCAAAATATCTATACTAATCTTTTACAACTACTCTCCAATACAAATATTAATCAACATCAATTATATCGTGAAAAATGTCAATTGACGAATATATGTTTATTAAGTGAGTGTAATAGTCTTTTTATGCCGTCTGAAGAACTTAACTTCTGGTCGATTGATACTTTTCAATCACCATTTGAATTGCATATATTAAAGTTAAATGTGAATAATCGTCAACATAGAAATTTATCTCATCTATTGTATATATATTCAATATTAATCAAATAGAAATGAAAGATTTGAATTTAATACCAATTAATGCTGTTCCATGTGATGAACTAACTAATCGTTTACAAAAATTGTATCTTTCATTATTATTCAATTTTCATAAAACTAAAGGAAAAGATAAATTTAATCAACACGATGCTATCCAATATTTTGAAGCTGATTGATTGGAACTTTATATAGATAAATTAAATATATTTGTTGCTAATCCATCCATCCATCTACGTAAACAATAATTGCTTATATATAACAAAACCATGGAATTCTAATTTAGTTGTTAATTCTTTAACAATAAAAATATGTGAACTTCTTAAGACACCCATTGATTTGCTTGGCACAAAATCCATCTTGGACTGGATACATCTATCATTATACACATTTAGAAAATGCTGTTTTAATTTTAAGTGATCAAACATTAAAATCTGGTCATTTTTGTCAACTGAACAATTTTAAAGATTCATCAGCTTATGATTTCATGTCAGAAACAGATGATCAAGTTAATCATTATGTGCGTTTTTATTTTCGTACAGGTACATCGACACAACTCAATAATGAAAATCTTGGATCTAATAAAAGCAAAAAACGTAATAATTATACACCAATGTGTCCAGCATCAGCATTCTTTTGTATAAATCTACAAGCCATACTCAACATACCAAATTTGAAATGGAAAGTAAGCATAAGTGATATGTCCGGTGAACGTACAGAATATGATTGTACGATGGATATTATCAAACGATTTGATTTCTGTGGTTTATTTAAAGATTCAGAAAATAAACGTTGTAAACAACTTGAATTTTTAATTCAAAATCAACTTGATTTTCGACTTTTACCAAATGATACTATTAATCTGGTTTTTCAAGATTCTGATGCTAAACAAAGTTTAGAATCTATATTATCTACGCAAATCTATAATACTGAAACGAAAAGAAATTATTTTTTTGGAAAAAATAATCGTATATTTATTAATCATGATTCTCAACAAGATCATATTTCTGTTATGATTGATCGTGAAACACATCATAAAAGTGAAATATTTATTGTTCAAATTAAATCACATGACAATGAACAAAGAATTGATTTAGCATGTAAAGATAATATTGATACTGTATTTCATTATGATCGTATAACAACAGTTTATGGAAAAGAAAAACGACTTAATTTGTTTGTTGGTAAACAACCTTATGCAGTTTATTATAAATATGAAAAACGATTGTGACTTATTTATACAAATCATAACAAACCTGATCTTGATGATTCATATATTAAACAATACAGTGAATTTGAACCATATGATTAACAATGTAACACGACTGTTGTTCTCTAGACAGTTGCTCCTCGAACACTTGCTTCCCCCCAGTGACAGTTGTTCTCCAACAACAGTTGCTTCCTCTGACACTTTCTGTCAGGACACTTGCTCCCGCGACCGGGTTATGGATGTGAGTGTGACTATAGGCAGGTGTGAGTGTGGGTA